TGATGTCCTTTTGCAAATAAAGTCTTTACTGCAGCAATTCTTTGTCTGTATTTTTTTTTTACATACAGTAAACTGTAAATTTTTAAAGCTACTCTGGGATGGTCGTTCATTTTTGTATTGAATTTCTGCAGCATAAGAAACAAAATGCATGTATTTACTTTACTAAACCCAACAACACAAAAATGTAGAGAGGTATATAATCAAATATAAGGGCAGAGCCGTCACATAAACTAATGCAGTTTCTGTAATGTCAGCTGATGATAGTTTTTTTATTGTCAGTGTTTTCTGATTGACTGAATGTTTCTGTTGGAGGAGAGCATGTGTTTGTGTTTTGAACAATAATTTCATTTTGAAACATGTTTGCAGTGTTTTGTTAGACATGGTGTAGTGTGTTTGTTTATTAATGTCTTTTGAACATTAGTTTAGAGGTTTAGTTTACAATGTGTGATTTTGAGCATGAAATTAACTATTTTGCCAATTGTTTGTTTTAAGCTTGTTGCTGCGTTAAGAGTTTAGCAAACTTGTTAAATGTATTGAAAAAGCTGTCATAGCCATTGTAAAAAAAAACTGTAATAGAGGGACTAAGCCGAAAAAAAAAATGAATGAATGAATGAATAATAATAATAACACAAACAAGGGCGTCATGGTAGTGCAGTGGGTTTGCATGTTCTCCCCGTGTTGGCGTGGGTTTCCTCCGGGTGCTCCGGTGTCCCCCCCAGTCCAAACACATGTAATATAGGGAAATTGAATTAGCTAAATTGGCTGTGGTGTATGTGTGTGAATGCAAGTGTATGGGTGTTTCCCGGTACTGAGTTGCAGCTGGAAGGGCATGCGCTGCGTAAAACATATGCTGGATAAGTTGGCGGTTCATTCCGCTGTGGCGACCCCTGATTAGTAAGCCGAAAAGAAAATTAATAAATGAATGAATGAATTACATAAATAAATACTAGGGGTGTAACATACTTTTAATAATAACTGTACATGATCACTGTACTGTATATCTGTGAAAAAAAAAAAAATTACGGTTTATTTCCAGCAACTGGGGTGCCAGAAAAAAAAAAAAAAAACTTAAAATAACTCTCATTAAATTGCAAAAATTAATTGTAAAATAACAGCTGTTGAATTACATAAATATATCAGAAATTGAAATTTAAGGAAATTTTTCTAATTTAATATCCGTTATTTTACGGTATATTTCTGTAATTTAACGGTATAAATTTAAGTATCAAGTATAAATAAACCGTAAAATTTAAATTTTTCTTACAGTGTATTTTTTCTATGGATTTCTACTCATTTACTATACTAAAGGTCATTTCTGAAGAAGGAATTGGGCTTTTTACGTTCCTTACTATTTTCTTAATAAGTTACTTTTATAAATTTCATTTTCCTTCATCTTATGTACATTAAATATGGTAAATAGGCAATTACATGGGTTTTCTCACAGCATTGCTTTAGCTTGTTATACAGATACAGTGCTCAGCATATACAAGTACACCCCCCTCAAATCTATCTTTTGAATCCATATTTTTAATAGGAACCTTTACAATTATACATTATATTTATATATATTAGATTAGTCAGTACTGAAGCCAAATCTGGAGCTTATCTAACAAAATAACTGACGATAACGGTCCAAAAACAAATACACCCAAATGTTTATGTTATAGAAAAATATGATTGAATTTAATTGTATTATCTTTGCATTTCTAAAGATGTTTGGTGACTAAAATATAATTTTAGTAAATATATTTGTTTTGTTTAAATACACCAAAAAACATTGCCCATATTCACTGAGATATTGATGAAAATATTCATTTTCAAAAAGGGGTGTACTCAATAATGTTGAGCACTTTGTATAGGAAAATAATGAGGTATTGGATACCTTTTTGGTTTGGACCCTAACTTTCTTTTGTTATGCAAACTACTGATGACAATTATTTATAATGATTTGACCTTTATTTAACCAGGTAAGTCAATTGAGAACCAGTTCTCATTTACAATTTACCAATAAAATCAAAAGGTGTTTAGACCTTTATATTCATTTTCCTTTATATTTATTTATTTATTTAGACCAACATTTTAACCTCAAAAGATTTAAGACAGTAATATTTGGTGGGATAACCCAGATTTTTTGTAACAATAAATTAATATTTAATATTATTTTGACCAATTAACATTTTCTGGTTAAAATTCTTCACTCAAAAAAATAAATAAATAAATAAAATACTTGTTGCTTGTTCACTTATTCAACATAATTCTTAAGTTTTTGGGGAATAACTGGATTGTTTTATTTTTCAATCCACTTAAATTGGTAAAAACAACTAAATTAACTTAATACATTTGTGTTTGAACAACATAAAAGAATTGTGTGGAATTTGTTACAGTGTTTAAATGACTGTATTTTCTTTATTGGATTCAGTTTTATCAGACATTCAAGAATAAAACAAATGTTAACATTTTACTCAAACCCATAGCTAATAAATCCAGAAAACTGATCATTTGCTTAGTGGTCTCTGGATATTTTACAAACAATTTTATTTTATAACTTTACCCAAACTTTGCCTGGCAAATTAGTTTTTTATATTTATTTAACCTTACACTAGAAGGTGATTCTATATTAATTACCTCTCTTTTTTACTTCTGCTATAGGCTACTTTAATTTTTTATACTCAAGTACAAATTTAAAGCTGCACTTATACTTAAATACAGTTGAACTCAGAATTATTAGCCCTCTTGAATTATTAGCCCCCTGTTATTTTTTTCCCCCAATTTCTGTTTAGAAAATTGTTTCAACACATTTTTAAACTTCCTTCTTTCTTCTCTTTTCTTTTCTTTTTTATTATTTTTCTTTTCTTTTATTTATTTATTTTTGTTATGTCATGTTTTTTGGATGTTGTGTAAGTTATGTTTTGTCTTCTTGTGTTGTAATTATGCGATTGTGATTAATAGTGGGACCCCCTTGAAAATGAGATGGTACATCTCAAGGGGTTTATCCCAATGAATAAATATCAAAGCGTAATATTTTTAATAACTCATCTCTAATAACAGATTTATTTTATCTTTGCCATGATGACAGTAAATATTATTTGACTAGATGTTTTTCAAGACACTTCTATACAGCTTAAAGTGACATTTAAAGGCTTACCCATGTTAATTAGGTTAACTAGGCAGGTTAGGGTAATAAGGCAAGTTATTGTTTAACGATGGTTTGTTCTGTAGACTATCGAAAAAATATAAAGCTTAACGGGGCTAATAATTTTTACCTTAAAATAGCTTTTAAAAAATTAAAAACTGCTTTTATTCTAGCCAAAATAAAACAAATAAGACTTTCTTCCAGAAAAAAAATATATTATCAGACACACTGTGAAAATGTCTTGCTCTGTTAAACATCATTTTGGAAATATTTAAAAAAATAAAAATAAAAATTCAAAGATGGGCTAATACTTCTGACTTCAACTGCATATTTTCAGACATCATTTGTTCAAAATGATGATAATTTCTGAGTATTTTTACACCCCTAAAATGCACTAAAATAAATGATTACCTTAAACACAAACCAAAGGAAAAACAGAATGATCATATGAGATTTGAGCATTACTGACCATTGATGCTGGTTCTGGTTCTGGGTAGATGTGAGAGTCTTCTTCAGAGGTAAGATGAAGATGTTGGTGATGGAGGTGGTATTTATGATGCTGGACTGCTGACCGACCCTCTTCTTCAACATTAGGAAGATCAATGGAAGCTGTTTAATTACTCTCTTTCATGGGGGTCTTTGGCAGGGCTTAAGCATCTCCTTATTTGAGCAAACTCCCTTTCCAAGTGCCAAAAAACACAAACCCAAAAATCTTTTGAGCAAACGTCAGGTTAAATTCCCCACCTTCCTACTGGAGAATATTTTCTCTGCAGTAAAATCACAACTTTTTATTATTTGTTAAATGTGTCAATATAAAAAAAATATTTTGTGCTTGGATCAAATGAAGTTTTCAAGTCATCTCAACTTACATCAGTCTGACTAAAAGTATTAAGTTAAAATTTGTATAGCTGAAAAAATTATATATATATATATATATATATATATATATATATATATATATATATATATATATATATATATATATATATATATGTATATATACAATTTTTAGCCCCCGTTTATTTTTTCCCCCAATTTCTGTTTAACGGGGAGATTTTTTCAACACATTTTTAAACATAATAGCTTTTTTAATAACTCATTTCTAATAACTGATTTATTTTATCTTTGCCATGATGACAGTAAATAATATTTGACTAGATATTTTTCAAGACACTTCCATACAGCTTAAAGTGATATTTAAATGCTTAACTAGGTTAATTAGGTTAACTAAGCAGGTTAGGGTAATTGGGCAAGTTATTGTATAACGATGGTTTGTTCTGTTGAAAAAATATACATAGCTTAAAGGGGCTAATAATTTTGACCTTAAAATGGCTTTAAAAAAAAACTGCTTTTATTCTAGCTGAAATAAAACAAATAAGACTTTTTTCAGAAGAAAAAATATTATCAGACATACTGTAAACATTTCCTTGCTCTGTCTTCATTTGGAAAATATTTACAAAAGAAAATCAAAATCAAAGGGGGGCTAATAATTCTGACTTTAACTGTTTGTGTGTACACACACACACACACACACACATATATATATATATATATATATATATATATATATATATATATATATATATATGTATTTTTTTTATAAAAATGTACATAAAAATCACTTTGTTAAACTGTTGAATTTTTAATGTCACAAGTCGACACAACAGAGATCAACATCCTATAATGCAATAAACAGAACTCACAATCACAAAATACAGAAGCTGTTAATTAACAGATATTTTTTACAGTGCACCTGTAGTTTGAAATAAGCAATAACATCCATTTTCTATACAAGGTTTTGTGTGTTTATGCTAATTTTGTGCTTATAGCACAAACTGTTGCTTACTTCATGTTTCTCCATATTTTAGGTCTTCGCTGTGCTTTCAAGGCTCCTTCTTGGGATTGTGTTGCTCTCCGATGTTCAAAGTGTGGCGAATGAAGAGGTGGACATAAACACCCTCGCCAGGATTCAAAGATTTTTTAATTTTAAGTATGTTTGATGTTTAAAATGAAGTAAAACTACATATTGTCATTATATGCATTATTTAGCTTTCAGTGCTTTCAGTGATTTAGTATTCGTAATCATCATTAAAACGTTTGTCTTTTATTGCACTGAGATGTTTAAATGTTAAGAACTGAATATGTTTTAGAGTTTTTCCTGGCTCAAAATGAGGCAGAGGGGGAATTGCCATCATGACATTTTTACTACTTGAACTAATTTTGCATTACTCTTGTAATCTTATCAAGTAAAACGTCATCTTATTAAAAAGGCTTACAAAAAATGTAATTAAATACATGACAAGTGCTTGAGCATCACTTGAGGTCTGTCTGTCTGATTTTTGTCAAAAGAAGGAGCTACAAAATCTGATGAAGATGGTCAGCTCTAAGGAGTAATCGAATTGTTGTTACTAATGTTTAATGGGATGTTTCATGAAGTTTGCATTATACCATAAAATGTTTCACTGATATAGTCTCAGCATGCATATTTGATTCCTCTGTTATTTTGCATATATTTAAATTATATTCTTTTCTTTTTTACAGTTATGCAACTGGATCGCAGTATGCAGTGGCCATCAATGTCCCGATGGAGCAGTGTCAAAGTGGTCCATCAACAGCTAACTTTCTTGAAAACGACAAGTCAGAAGATGTTAAGCCCTACATAAAACGCGACAGTATGGAAGTCTACCAAGGCACTGAACTCATTGCTGCAGGGGTTCATAAAGATGCACATTCTGAGCATTTACTGATGAATCCCCCAAATGATTCTCCTTTGACACACTTGCTGAATAACAGTAATAATGGATGTGTGGTTTTCTACACTTTAAACACTCCCTGTGTAGGCAAGTGTCTTAACAGCGATGTTGTACTTTCAGGTCTTCGTGAATTACAGAATTATCAGGGAATGAAAGCCTTTGTTTACACGTATATCTATAACAAAGACCAGAACAATGGAAACCTGCGTAATGCACTGCAAAAGATTGCTAATCGTGTGCCACTTTACCGCTGTGGCAGAAATGGTTGTATCTACTGTGGGAATAATGTGATAAAAGCATGTTTAGACAGTAAAGTCTGACTTATGTAGAGTTTCTTCAGTGCTTTAACTGATCTGTGCTTCTGCACTGGAGTTTCTGTAGCTGCCGAGGCTTTTGATGATACGTTTCAATCCTCAAATGATCAGTTTATACTCTGCCTTCTGCTTTTGATTTAAAAATGTACAAATGAGTGAATTAATCTTTCATTTAAATCAAGCAATATGGGGTTCCTATCATGAATTCTGATTAGTGTACTTTGATCATCTGTTTTTAAAATGCTTGTTTGTTCATGCTTCAGGTAACAGTATATTAATGGCTTTTACTGCTTGCAGAAATAAACTTATACTCATCATATTTTTAGTTTGATACTTTATTTAAACAAATACTATGGTGCCTGTGGGCAGATGGGCTAATCAGATGATCTGTTCTGCTTTTCCTGTGTGGCTTAAAGCTCCAAGTGTTCAAGTTTTCTCTTCTGAAGATTGGAAGAATTAAATATGTAAGGAATTATTGGAGATTGGCTGCTGAATTATAAAAAATAATAATAATGCTTTCATTATGCAGAATGTGCATTATTTTCTAATAACTCAACAAGCTGCGTTCAATTATTCTGCTCATTATACGATTCCCTACACCCAAATACACAGATCAGATGTTGTATTTCACAGTGTGTAGAACTAGTTTCACACCTCATTAGGCCAGATGTTTTGTTTGACTGCTATAAAATGTGAAATAACCGAAATCATTAAATAAATCTGATATATGGCAATTAAAGCTAATGACAAACAGTATATGACATACAAGTTTGAATTTCACAGATATTAAAGATATTTTATACTTTATATGTATAAGTGTGATAAAGTTACATTAACTGTTACCACTGGGAAAGCAGCTCTGGCAGATACACACACATTCTCACACACGCACATTCTCACGCACACACATACTTGCAAACACACACACACACACACACACACACACACACACACACAGAGAGACGCGCTGACACGCAGACATTCTCACAGGCCCACTTACCTCATTCATTCATCATAATGTTCCTCCCTGCCGTTGCCGCTATCGGAGGAGCGGGTGCACACGCAATCTCGATAGCACATGGACATATTTCCATAAATCCACTCTCCGCAATTCATAAGTCAATCCAGGTATTTCATACACCTCCACTTCTCCTGTTGTGTTGTCTTTTTCCGTTTGGTGTTTGTCTGTTGTTTATGATGTTTGTCTGTTGTCTGATTAAGAAGGTTTGTATTGTGTACCAGGCCATTTATAGTTGTATTGCTTATTTTGTTCAATAAAGAAATAAAAAAAGAAAAGAAAAAGAATGAATGGGATTGTGTGCGCATGCGCACTGCGATAGGAAGCTGACGAAACCATTAATAATGGTTAAACACCAAGTGTGTATTATGTGTTTATTTATATTAAGAAAATGTATGTTTTGTTGTTAATTACATATTAAGGATTTTTTCTTTATGTTTTTAATGTGAAGTGTGGCTTGAATGTTAAGTTATTTAATGTTTGTGTATTTGAACGATTTAATACTTACCTTTTGAATGGTATAGCCCACAAACGGGCGGGAGTTTGGGCCATATAAGCCAGAGCCAACTACCATACAACACTTGTTAACCAAGTCGATGCAAGAGTGTGACTGTGGTGCCTTGAGCAAGTATATTGTGGATACCTCGTTATTATTATTTTTGTAGATATAATTGGAGTATTTTTTTGCAGATTTTATTTTCCTGTTTGTTGTTACTTTGGTACTTTGTATTATTTTTTTTGTTAGCACTTGTAAGTATCATCACTGTGGATGGACTTTTTGGCACTGTAAATAAACATCACCTTGCATGACAGTGCTTTGTGAGTAAGCCATCAGTTTTTCCCCTTACAAACTCACATTTCTCCCCCTGAAGACGAGCTGGTGGGCTCGTTTTCATCACAATAAGCAACAAGCTGTATATTTAATACATTTTTACAAAATTGCTGTTTATGTATATTTTTGTAAACCAATAGAATTACAAAGATTTGCATACAGTCAAATATATCAGCTATCCTTTTACATAAATATTAGATTTCCATAGCTTATGGGGCATAGTGTTATATAACTGTACTTTAGCTGTGTCTATCCGAACATACAGTAAATGCACATAAATAGACAATAATGCATCTCATATGTTTGTCAAAAGGTCTGAACCACTACATACTGTAAAGGTGTGTGTGTGTCTGTGTTTATAAAAAGATATATTCATTCATTCATTTTCTTGTCGGCTTAGTCCATTTATTAATCTGGGTCGCTACAGCGGAATGAACTGCCAACTTATCCAGCACGTTTTTACACAGCGGATGCCTTTCCAGCTGCAACCCATCTCTGGGAAACACAAACACACACACACAACGGACAATTTAGCCTACTCAGTTCACCTGTACTGCATATCTTTGGACTGTGGTGGAAACCGGAGCACCCGGAGAAAACCCACGCGAACGCAGGGAGAACATGCAAACTCCACACTGAAACGCCAAATGAGCCGAGGTTCGAACCAGCAACCCGGCGACCTTCTTGCTGTGAGGCGACAGCACTTCCTACTGCACCACTGCGTCACCAAAAAAGATAAATCATTGTGTGTAATCATGTATGTAATTCCATTGCTTGGAAAAATTGGCATTTTTGCTATATTCTGACATGCATGACACACTGTATATTTGGTTAATTTAGTAAATGCTAAAGGCTCTTGTCTTTCAAAATTGTTGATTGGTGTATATGTGCAGTTTTGATATAACCAGGTAAAAAGTCGTCTTGTGAGTTGAGATGTTAGCATGATGGAGCGTGAGGGTGAAATTAGCATTGAAGATTGGAAGCAGGATCTATTTTTTGATTCGATAATCGAAATTGAGCATAAATTTCGATCGATTTTGATTTAAAATCGAAATCGTGACAGCCTTAGTTCAGTGTGGTTTAAAATCATTACTGAGAGTCCAAACACTGAAGAGCAAATTCATCGATGCGTAGCTCTACAGATCCTGAACCATGCAAGCCAGTGGCGACAGCGGAGAGGGGAAAAAAACTTCACAGATAGGAGAATGAAGAAAAAAACCTTGAAAGAACCAGGCTCAGTTGGGCACGACGAGTGGTCTCCGGAGTTCGTTCTTCTGAGAACACCTTCACAAGAACGCAAGTCCGTTCTCTGCGTTCTTTGAGAAACAGCCTGTGTTTGCCCTGGCTCAGTCCCGCTTGTCACTAAGGTAACATTTGGTGATACACAGACGTACAGTACACACACAAATGAACATTATGAAAATGATAGCTTGTTGTACGGTTGGCCGTTCACTTTCATTATTTGGTACCATTGCATTCATATCAGAAGTGACCAGAGATTGCGCAAACCGTACCCCAGACCACCACTTTCAGGTGGACTCGGGTACAGTTTGTGGGTGCGCACTCGAGTTCAGATGACATTGTTCACACTAGCTAAACATACCGTACTCTGACCTCAAACGAACCCAGGTGTGAACCAATAGTGCTAGTGTGAAAGCAGCCTTACAGTGACACTTCTGTTATCAAACAAATCAAAATAAGATTTGCTGCTCTTCAATAAATAACTATAGTAACATTAAATAATATTTAAATATGGCTAAAAAAAAGAGAACGAGATTTTATAACTTTTAGATTTAATTTCTGTATAAGTCATTCATTTTTATAGGCGAAAGCTTTTATTTTATTGTCAAAATTTTCTAATATGTGTAATATATCATTTGAAGCTGATTGTTGTCCCTAATTTTTACATCTCAATGTTGACAGGTGGCTTATAGAGCATCGGGCAGGAACACATTATAGGTAATCGTCCTTGTTTTTGCGTTGATATTTCTGGCAAGTACCATAGCTATTGATCATTTGTGATTTATGTCCCGAAAGCAGTATCGACATTATAGCAAATGATGGATAAACAACTAGTGAAACACAGTCAAAGTGAAACTAACAAAGCAAAGCATTGAGATATACAAGTGTGTGGCAGAAGCACAAGGTAACCAACGAGATAACAGAGAAACACAAGGAAAACCATTCATTCATTTATTTTCGGCTTAGTCCCTATATTTATCTGGGGTTGCCACAGCGGAATGAACCGTCAACTTATCCAGCATAGGTGGCCCTTCCAGCCACAACCCATCACTGGGAAACATCCATACACACTCATTCACACATTACACCATGGACAATTTAGATTTCCCAATTCACCTATAGCGCATGTCTTTGGAGCACGGGGGAAACCGGAGCACCCGGAGGAAACCCATGCTAACAATTTGATTAATTTTAATCTGCTGGATCATGTTAATGCCTTTCAGACACTATTTAGGGACAGAAAAGTTGTAACATCTGTCAGTGACCACCTGAGGGCGCTGTAGTGCAAAAGGACTCAGTTGGCACTACAGTGTCCCAGTAAGACTACATTTCAATACATACCACGCACATACACAAAAGTAAGTAAAGCTTGCATTCGATGTATTTCATGCTCAGTACTGGTGTCAAAACTTCTGACAAACCCTCCCTCTAAAACAGGGGTCTCAAACTCGCGGCCCGCGAGCCATTTGCGGCCCTCAGTGCAATATTTTGTGGCCCGCGCCGACCGCTGTACACAGACAGAATCAGCGGAGCGGGGAGAGAGAGCGCTCCCCGCTCCGCTGATTCTATCCGTACACAGCGGTCACTGGCATTCCCCGCCCGCCGTGTAAACAAAGGGGCAGGGATGCCGGTGACGTCACCACGCACCCCGCCCCTTTGTTAGACGCTGTGACGGGCGGGAAGTGTTGATTTATACTTCTGCGTCAAACACCGGCGTAGGCTACGGCGCTGACGCATAACCCTTCGCCGTGGCCGTCGCCGTCACTGACGTGCACCTCTCAAAAATTGTAACTACACGTCGCAATGACGCGTATCGCAAGCTCTGTGATTGGTCGGCTTGCTAGCGCCGACGAGTCTGGGCGGGACCGAGAGCTGCGAGAATGGCGCGAGCGATTGTTTACAAGTGTGGAGTCCCGTGAAGGAGCTCCGGATGGAAAGTTTTGTTCTTTGTTTACCTCATGGTAAAAGTTGTTGCACGTCCGCCTTTTCCTGCCTCAAAATGAGCGAGTTTGAGTCACTTGTACATCCAGTAAGTGTTCAGAATAGCAAAACAGAAGCGAATAAACTCGACACAGAGGAACATTTACACCTCACTGCCCACTAGCGTTTCGGAAGTGTTAATGCAGACCAACAGAGACAGCGCGCAGAAGTATAAATGAACAGCTGCGCGCGTTGCCTGCGCCGTGAGTTGCGCCGGTGACTTGACGCAGAAGTATAAACCAGGCAG